ATCTCGCTGTCTTTCCGATGTTGGCTGACTGTCTGGCATTGAAATCCTCATGCGTGCCGCCTGTAGTTGAAAGGTTCCTGACTATGCTGATTAGGTAGGTGAAAGAGACAACTTCCTTTAGATTTCTCCCGTTGACGTTGATTGATGTTTCTTGTTGCTGTTTTTGATGTTGTTGTTGGTATCTTCATCACCTCTGTCTTCTCTTCCTTCACCTGAAGGAAGTCCCATCCTCCTTCGCTGCCCCTTCGCTTCGCATAGCCTCGACTCGCCTCACCTTTTCTGCCAACTTATTAGTTTTCGCCTGTACATCTTCGAGTTTGTGTCACACAAGACATTAGACATAAATCATCATCGTTTGCGGAATCCGAATCTTCTAGGGTCTTTTCATCCGCCAAACAGTGTATTCCCCTCTTCTAGCTCCTCACAGTTTCTTGCATGATCCAGTCTAGTCCAATGCAGTCGATCACAATTATGAAGATCATTGGTGATAGTAAGTGGAAACCTCGTCTTACTGCTTTTTGACTTCACTTCAGAGGCGTCACTGAGCTTTGCACTGTGAACCACTCGGCATGTAGCAGCGTTCACTGCTGTAGAGAGCTCCAACTTGATACCAACGATCATCTTTACAATGAGTAAGACAACCAAAGAATGACGCTTCTGAAGGTCGAGATGAGTTACTTCTTGGTACCCCTCATGTCATACAAGTGTCTGAGGATGTTAGAGTCAATAATAACCTACGTATAGTTTAATTTCGTTTACAAGGAGTGATGGTCATTCGTCTACCCGAAGCTGGCGCAACATGCACGCTACCATCCTATGTGCAATGAACATGAACGTGTCAAAACTGAAGCTGCAAACCGCAAACGGTAGAGTTGTTTCAATAGTACATGAACTAAGCATACTACGGGAAGGCACAAATGGTTGGTTATGCCATCCGTGTGCAATAAAGGATGGTGTAGTATGATAGTGGGTTACGACTTGCTATGTAAGTATAGGGCAAATATAGAGCAGGCGGATAAAATTCGTCACATTCTCTTAGCGTTTACGAACTCCATCGCTTGGGGCTCTAAAAGGCTAGAAAAGACCTTAGTGTTACAGCATCGAATCGATACAGCTGAGTCCGCACCACTGAGACAGGAAACTTGATATGAACCCATAAAGTTTCAAATTCAGCTCAGAAACATGATTGAATATATGTTACTAAAGGAGATCATCACGCCTTCTCAGTACACACGGGCTCGCCTATACACTTTTAGTTAAGAAAAGGGAGGGGGCTGTATCTGTATGTAGACTATGGAAAGTTGAATGCTGTCACTAGGAAAGATTCATTTCCACTACTGCGAATTGATGAAACTCTGGAAGCGTTAGCAGGTTCTTTCTGATTCTATACTCGTGATTTAACATCCTGATGACAGGTCAAAACTTGCGTCCATTATCCCAACAAGATTGGATGAATCGCCTTTTAGAATGACAAATCCTCTCACAACTTTCCAAAGTCTGACGAATGATGTATATAAAGTCTTGATAATCAAAATATGTACGGTTTACCTAACCTATATTGTAATACTCAGATGTACAGTTGAGGAGCAGGCAGCACCATGAAAGATTTAATGTGATGACAAATTGTTTTTAAGCTCACAAAGGTGGCTTAAACTTCCTAATAGTTAAGGTCTCAACAAATTTAAGGATCTGTACTCAATACACTTTTTAAACAGGTCTAAAAGAAGTAGCAACGTCGATCTTGTGACCTGTATCAACGATATATATATATCGCAATTGACGCTATCAACGTTTGCTTCTGAAGCCACTTTGGAATAGGCTCCGAGGCCCATACTAGTATAGATTCACGAGTCCTCCCTATGTATGTGTCACTCACTACACGTACATTTGAATTGGTAGATTCGATGGGATATAACATTGTAGTTCACATACTGTAAGGATTTGAGAGGATATTAATCGAACCCTATCTGCAAAGTAAATCCTTCTAACAGCACTGTTAAGTCTGTGCTTCAGGAAGGAATCCCTCTTGTCTACGGAAGACTGGTGAAGACGTTTTTCCTCCAGACATAGTGAAGTGTTAGTTTTCGCGCCTTCCTTATTTCTGCTAACTGATTCACATTGATGCACCATGAAAGATATTGAACGAAACGCAATCAACCAACTCTTCAAAGCAGAAGAAATAACAAAGCAAGACAAATGGCGTATGAAATCGAATGGACCTATCCTTCCTCGATTCTACGGCAGACCAAAGCTACACAAATCCGATATCCCTCTACGACCAATAGTCTCACTTCCGGGAACTCCAACATACAACATATGAAGAGAACTTTCGAGAAAACTGAAACACTTCGTCCAATCATGCAGATATTCCAACAAGTCATAAACGGAGTTCTTACAAAAGATTAAAAACATTAACATAGAAAACGATGAATTAGTGATGTCCTTCGATATTACAGCACTATACACATCTATCGAACCTCAATTGGCGAAGGAAACGATATCCCTCCTGATCAATGAAGAGAAAAAACCTTTCAGAACGCACAAAACTCAAATGTTCAAGTCTGATGGAACTCATCGACCTTTGTCTAACAACTTACTTCCAATTCAATGGCAAGATATACAAACAGATGAAAGGAACTCCAATGGGATCACCGATATCCGGGCTAATTGCAAAAGCAGTGATGCAGAGACTGGAAGCCATTATTCTACCTGTGATTAAACCGAAATTTTGGATTCGCTATTTAGACGACACCTTTGTCATCATCAAAAAGGATGATATAGAAAACACTCACAGTTTGATTAACAACATTTTCAGTGACATCAAATTCACAATGGAGAAAGAGTCAAAAAACCAACTATCACTCCTGGATGTTTCAGTCAGTAAGACAAATACTGGAAAGCTGGAAACACAAGTGTACAGGAAGCCAACACATACTGATCAAATCCTCAACTACAGTAGCAACAACTCAACAACACACAAAATCAGTTGCGTACAGACTCGATTCAAAAGAGCGAGAACACACTGAAGCACAACAACTTCACAGAGAAACGAAGAAAATTACTTGATGTCCATTCTAAAGAAGAACGGCTACCCACGAAACTTTATCAGAAGATGCCTATCCCCTGCATCATCAACTACAAAGTCATCCACAGAAATCAATAAACACATCGTCCTACCATACATAAAGAATATATCAGAAATCATGACAAGATTACTGAGGTAAACCACTTGGAATTGGTGTGGATCATAAACCAACAAATTCCCTGCAAACACTATTGTGCAGACCAAAGGATACAACAACCAAAGAAGACTAACTGAATATCATTTACAAAATCAACTGGAATAACTGTAGTCAACACACATTGGACAAAGTGGCCATCCTCTTCACCTTCGTCTACATGTGAACACCAATTGGCTATTAAACGTCACACACGACATTTCATCACTCTTTTCAATGCACATGGACAACTATGGACATGAATTCAATTTCGATAATGTAGAAATTTTGGAGGGAGAAAGGGAACACTAAGAGAATTCCTAGAAGCTTGGCATTCAGCTCAGTCAGTCAACAATCAACAGATGTATAGACATAGACCGCAATCTATCAACCAATAAGAAAAATGATAAACGACAGAAAGGTTAGAGGTGAAGCAGAGGAACAGCCAATGACACAACATCGTCAGAGGAGGCTACTAAATCATTCACGTAAAGGTATTGACAGCTGATTTCATACTGAAGTTAGTGGTGATGATGTCATCTAGTAAGGTGATGAAAGCTTCATGATGAAACAATAAGCCAGCTCCTCAGAGAACACAATACCTTGTGAATATTCATGAAAATAGCGCAAACAGCCACACTTATAGTCATACTAACCAGGTTGTATAGATCTTAGTAGGCGAAATAGGACTCATATCCAAGACCTACACCTACACAATGGGAAGCTGAGTGATGCTTTTGAAGTGAAGACAGGAGTGAAACAAGGTTGCCTACTATCCCCCATGATATTCCTTATTGTGGTGGACTGGATCATGCAGCAAACGGTAGGCAGCGAGAAGAGGGGGATACACTGGACGACGGAAAAGAACCTAGTAGACTTGGATTTCGCCGATGATGACTTGTGCCTAATGTCACATAAACTTGAAGATCTACAGGCAAAAACTAACAAGTTGATAGAAGAGGCAGCTAAGACGGGACTTCGGTGAATATAGAGAAGACAGAAGTGATGAAGATACCGCACCACCACCATCAACAACAACAACAAACTCCAATCACTGTCAACGGGAGAAACTTAAAGGAAGTAACCTCCTTCACTTATCTAGGAAGCACTGTTTCAACTACAGGCGACACAGACGAGGACGTCAAAGTCAGAATCGGAAAAGCAAGACAGGCGTTCATTAGCCTGAAACCAGTGTGGAGATCTTCTGCACTCAGCATGCGGAACAAGATACGGATTTTCAACACCAACCTAGTCAAGTCAGTGCTCTTGTATGGCTCAGAGACTTGGCGCGTCACGAAAGGTATTTCCAATAAACTACAGACATTCATCAACAACTGCTTACGCTCGCTACTGGAGATCAGATGGCCAGAAAGAATAAGCAACAAGGAACTCTGGGAACGAACCAACTAAGCGAGAACCTATCACGCAACAAATATGCAGGAAGAAGTGGAGATGGATTGGCATGCACTGAGAAGGCCGACTGAGGACATCATGCGTCAGGCCAGTTGCTCGAGTGGAATCCCCATGGGAAGCGACGAGTTGGAGGAGGTCGTGCGAGGAGGAAATGAGAGCTTCTGGGCTGTCGTGGGACCAGGTTCAAAAGATCTCAGAGAACAGAGGTCACTGGATACGTGCTACTGAAGCCCTATGTTCCACTAGGAACCCAAGGGACTAATAATAATAATAATAATAATAATCCAAGACCTATTCATTTCTTTAAAATCAACTAATTCACAACTTCATAAAGTGTTTCACTTTAAAAATTTCATATTTTAATCAATATTATATATTTTTTTCATACAATTCATTACAATATGAATCTGGTAGTATAGATTCAATATAATTTGGATACCAATAATCATTTTCATACTTAATAATAGTTTTATGCTTACAGATTGAACAATAAAAGTGTATATGTCGTCTTTTTACTTTCATTTTACCTTGTAAATATAATGGAATTAAACATTTATTACATAATGATCTATATAGAGTATATGATAAACGTGTTTGAGATTTTTGACTAAGTTTATATAAATTTTTTAATGTTATATGACATAATAAAGCTGTAAATGATTTATTCATTATTGAATTGTATTTTGTATATAAAAAATTTTGTTGATAAAGTAAATTCATATAATGATGAATAGGTGATATTGTCAGTGAATTATTAGTCAAATATTTTTGTTTCCCCATAATTTAATAAGAGTGAGGTTTATCTACTGAAATCTACCGATGGAAAAAAGTAACAAGTAGAAAAAACAACAACATAAGAAATCATATTTGTTAACCAAAACTGGCTTAGATATACACCTATGCATAGCAAGTTATCAGTTACCTTAAAGTGTTATATACTTGGGAAAGTTAGATTAAGTTAGAAAATGATTTAGGGTAGCCAAACGAACATATGATATTTGAGAAGATGTAGAATACCTTGGCTAGAGTCACCCTAAAACGACAGGAGTCAATGGTTGAGGAATCTTAGTGACATGGATGAAAATCACTGGCAGCGATGAACACATATATATTCACTCCTTGGTGTCTTTTAAAGCTTGAATACTTATATTAATCGTTATCTCTTAAGCGTGTATTCCCTTACACAACTTTGTCGTCTACTTTGATATGAAGTCATCTTCTATTCACTCTGTTCTTTGTATATTACTATTGTGAAGTGTGACAACTTCATCATCATCATTATCAATATAGGACCAGGCATTAGTTGCCACACCTCACGTCAGTTCATCAAGTAGAAAGGTAGTGAGGTGAAGGATGAAGATAAGTGAATGCAGTCAAAAGAAATATAAAGTACGAGAAGAAAGGAAAGAGGAGTGACAAAATGGTGAGATTCGGTATAGCCTCGTTAAGATGAGGATAATGTGTGTATACGCCCGTGCCACTGACTTCGGTTCTCAGCCATGTCACCTAGGGTCTCTAACCACTGGTTCCTCTTGTCCCACAGACCCCAACCACCTAGTCTGCATCGTCCTACATGGCTTAAACCAATAGTCAGAGACTTCATACATTGGTGCCATGTTTTAGTCTGGCCACCTCGGGCCTTTTTCCAGCCTGGACCCACCTCAGCCAACATTGTGTGACGAGGCAATCGGTGACTAGGCATAAGTAGCATGTGTCCCAACCATCTTAGTCGATGAAGGTTCACAACCTCGTCAACTGACTTACCTTTCTCCCCAAAACTCTACACCTGACTTCTGCATTACTCACATGGTGACACCACGGAATACGTCCTATACTACGAAGGCAACGGTGGTCAAGTGTGGCAACTTGAGGCGATACACTTGTGAGCGATGTTCTACGTTGATTCTGTCTGTCTATTTGTCTACCAATAACAAAATAAGGAACCATTTAAATAGTATAAACTGACATGAAAGCTTAATAGTGAGGAATGGATCGGAATATTTTTTTAGAATTATTCCACTCAACCACCTTGTGTGCATTCATGCAACAGGCAATGAGCTACTGGAGCTCTCCGCACTGCGAACTTTTCAACCGATTACTCAGTTTATTGCTATTATATTGTTTTTAAACATGAAGTGTATTATTATTATTACCATTCTCGCTTTCGTCTTTATCTTCAGTTTACTCAGCTGGTTTCCCTTGCTTCTGGTCGGTCTGTACCGTTTTGAGTCACTAAACAGTTTCCCCCCATAAAGTTGTCCTCCAGTGCGCCATCTGACACAGTTATCTTGAGACCACGCATACCGTTTAAGCTCGCCATTTTCAACGTTTGCAGCTTGATACAGATTGGACATTAGGGGGGTTGGCTAGACTCTGGAAAGCCTCACCATTGATGTATGCTGAGTCTTAGAGACCCACATACAAGATCAAAGTGAAGTGCTTTGAATTAGTTTTCCATCTTACAGCTAGAAAAGTATATTTCATATGCGTTTATCCGGGGACCCGGTGGCATCGGCCTCGCTGGTGTTGGTGTCTCACTAAGTGCTCGGGTCAAAGCTGGGCTACTCGACTCGATCCCCAACAACAGTCATCTACGTGCTTTCAGGCTAAAAGGTCAACCCGAGTAAGAAGTAATCGACAAGAGAAATGATATCTCTTTGTCATCTCTGCCTACGCTCCGACGGATTGAAGCCCGGATGCAACCAAGGATGAATTTTATCATTAACTGAGTGACCTTCTCAACCAAGTGCGCTCGACAGATATCGTAGTGCTAGCTGGGGACTTGAATATGCAGTTTGGGCATCTAGATCCAGAGGAGATACGTTTAGGTGGCTAATGGGGGTTAGTTAGCCGCAAGTTGGATAATGGGGATAGTCTTCTCCAGCTTTGCTTAATCACAACCTATTTTTAGCCAGTACCAACTTTCGGCACAGCCATCGCTATTGTGCTACTTAGCGTCCTCCCTCTGACACTCAAACTCTGGGTTCAAACAGGTCATATCAAAATCAGCTATCAATGGTGTGGGCGCATACAGGACTGTCGCTCAATATGGAGTACTTATCTGGACCCTGACCATGCTTTAATGTATGCTACGTTTGTCTTGCGTTTTGGTGGTCATCAAAACCCTCATCCTAAACAGGTCGATACAAGCAAATTAGTTGCATCTAACATTGCAGCTAAATACAATCGTAAGTAGATTCAAGGCTAGCTACCAATTCTCCATAAAGTGTACACGAGCATTGGTTGCACTTGCAAGACGCCATGAAAATGGCGAGTAAAGCCGCTTGCAGCTTGGAAGAACGTCCCGCTAATAAACACTGGATCTCCGCAATGGTTTACGCGACAGATTACGCAAGAACCGTAAGGCTTGGTGATCAGAACACGCGAGTAAGATGGGAGCAGCAGCTGCATCTGGCAATAGTCGGAAGCTGTTACAGTTCATCTGAGCCACTGGTAGCAAGAAGCCAGGTGTAAGTGAGACGGTCTATGAGGTAGGCGGTACGCCGATAAGCAATATTCAAAGACGCATGGGAGGCTGGATGGAGCACTTCGAAAAGCAGTTTAGCTGGCTCACAGCTCCATCATTGTCACCTTAGGTGCATCGTGCTCCACAGTCAGTTAACATTGACCCACCTAACGAAGTGGTCCATAAGGAACTCCAAGTTTTAAAACGTTAATAGGCACCTGACTCAGACAACTTACTCCCAACTCTTTTTAAGGGTAGAGGAATGACTCTAGTCACGGAACTGACCAGATTGTTTGAAAAGGTATGGCAGACTGAGAGTGTTCCATCCCTCTTGAATGAAGCCATTGTTGTGCCCATCTTTAAAAAAGGGTCTACGTAATGCATGTGACAATCATCTGGGTGTTAGCCTGTTACCCGTTGAGTCGAAAATATTGGCTGCTATCATGCTTCGTAGACTGCAAAGCACGTCAGATGATTCGCGAGGAGCAAACCGGGTTCCCTCAGGTTGTGCATACACTGGTTATATATCTACCCTCCGCCAGATGCTTGAACGTCGCCACACGTATTGAAGGTCAACAATCTTTGTTTCTTTACATTAGGGCTACCTTCGATTCGTTGAACAGAGCTTCACTCTAGAGTTGTCTGTTGAATAGGGGGTGGCTGAGGGACTTCTTAACATCTTGAAATCCCTATATAATAACACCTCAGGCAGAGTCACAGCATATCACCACCTGTCGCCATTGATCCAAACCAGCAGAGGGGTTAGGCAGGGTTGCTCGATTTCCCATTCCTCTTTACTTTGCCATCGATGATATTCTTGAGACGGCTCTGAAGGAAGTGTGTCATGCTGGTTTAGATCCACTACCCGCAGAGCGGCTATTCGACCTTGAATATGAGGACGATATCGTCTTACTTTGCGATAACACACAGGCTACTCAAGTCGCACCTAATCAGTTGGCGATTACTGTCCGTATGTACTTTTGCAAGATTGGCAGGAGCCTGTGCTGCGCTCAAACCTCGGTGGTGAATCGTTGGAACCTGTCGAAAAGTTCGTGTATTCAGATAGTTGTGAGTGCTGGCGGAGGTATGAGTGATGAAATTTCCAACCGCATACTGAAAGTTAGACTGGCATACGTCAGTCTGGGCCACCTTTGGTGCCATTGCTACGTTACTCTGAACGTAAAAGGTTGGGTTTACAACATCTTGGTGCGACCAGTTTCTGCTCTACACTTGTGAAACCTGGCCTTTCCGAGCTGCGGATATGCGATGAATCTGTGTTCGATCAACGTTGTCTCCGTAAGACTGCTCGTATCCCGTGGCAACACCACGTACATATAATCCTGAGGTACGACAGCATGTGTTTCGACATGATGGAGATCGTTACTCAATAAGTGAAGTCAACTAGGAACACCGACTTCGGTAGCTTGGATATGTGTTACGCTTGTCATCCCAACGGCTTCCACACCATTCATTGTTTACTAACCATGGGAGTGGATGGAAGTAGCGTAGGGGCAATCAGTGTATGACGTGGCGCCATGGGGTGAAGCATAGTTGTATCGATAGTATTTGTTAATAAACTCTCTTGAACTACCTATGACAGAAATTTACCAACTTTAAATTGTTTAAAGCGTGCAGACTATCATTATTTCTTCTACCGACCAAAAATACAAAAGCAATATATAATCAGGTATATACCCCTAAAGGTTTAATTTATCCATTTAAGAGCACATTCACTACTCAACGCTAACATACAACAAATTTCGAACAAGTTAACCACAGACATACTTGCCTTATGTATTTAAATGAACAGTTATAAATACTTAAAGGGTGAGAACATGAAAATGAGGTTATCTAGGAATTAACTATTGCAAATGTAAACCACTTTTATGTGTTTAAAGACAATTCATTATCATACTAGACCCTCCTTTATGAATGCATATTCTCACCCCTTAACTATTTCATAAAAATGCATATGGCAAGTAGGTGTGTGATTAGATTATTCCAAGTGTACTGTGCAAATACATTACACGATTCAATCTGACGAAACTTCAGTGTTGACAGAGTTGTGAAAGCGGTTGACACTTTCCGGCTATAAAAGAGATTTGTGCGACCGCACAGCCCATCGGACATCTCTTGAGGCGTGTCAAACGTAGCATTTTGTGTATAGTTGTTTCGAGCTTTTGTTGTTTTGAAGTCGACCTTGAGAAGGCAGCATCAACATGGTACTGCTGGTCATCCACGGAAAACACCTTACTGCTGTCACACCCCATCCAGCTACGAGTTTACCCTCAAATCCCCATTATAGTGTAGTAAC